ACCCGCTGCTTTTCTGGCAAACTGGCTGAACTAGTGGGTGTAGCCGGCCTCAAATGTCGGAGGAGGGGGAGTAGCATATGAAAGACTGACCCCTCGGGGAGACACACTGGAGGCTAGAGCTTGGAGCTGGTGCTCCTGAGAGAGAACAGTCTGTCCAGGCCTGGCCTGGGATACTCAGCTGTGAGAAAGAAACTGTCTCAAACGGAGAGGGGAAATGTCTCACCCAAGGGAAGCAGTCCTAGAATGAGGATCAGGGCAGGACAGGGTTAGCTCCGAGCTCAAGAAATCTTTCCTGGGACCATGTGGATGGTTACTCTGACCAGTAGAGCTAAAAGAACCTGGGGTGGGGAGCAGGCACATAGAGGTATTAGAGTGAAGGTAGATGAATGGTTGGACATAGGGAACCTCTTTCCATTTACCAGACTGCTGGCAGTATGTGTGAAGACCCTTTAAAATGATTGGGTCTAGCATGCCATTATGTGGCCATTTTAAACCATTATCTAGAGGGTACCGAATCCAGACCTTATTGCAGAGGTGTATCAATTTGGAAGCCCTCAAATCAGGCGTTAATTTTAGAGATTTGAGGTTTTTCAGGAGACAGCCCAGTGGGGTGTCTGGGGGTGCAGTTGAAGACAATGTAGTGCCCATTGGGTAATGGGGGGCTGTTACCGAGCTATTCATATCAGCATCCCAAAAGAAAAGTCAGTAATGAATCAGGCAAACAGCCTAGATATCAGGTCATCACAAGACTTTCTAGGGGCCTCAGCTGTGGCAAACTCCCGAGGATCACCAGAAAGTAGTTCAACCTGGTACCGGGATTTCTAGCTGCTGCAAGAGCTTGGGGGGTTGCAGGGGGACTGTGAACTGCTTTCAAGGAGGGGAATCACCCAAAACAGCCAAAGTCCTAAGTCATAAATCAGCCAGGAGACCCCTCAGCCTAGGAAAGGCTGGCCAGGCCCTATCTGGGCATTTAGGGCCCCTCCTGCCAATTGGAAGGTCCTTACCAATCAATATGCCGGTGTGTTTGTGGGCTTATGAAGTCTGGTATCAGGAAAGATGGAACCGTGAGGTCTGTGTGGGCCCACGTGGCAGAGTACCACGTTGGCTGGCCGCAGTGGTACAGCTCACATGGTGGAAGTTTCGTGAGCCTGGCAGCTGTGGGTGGAGTTGGTCTGCAGCAGCGGTGGAAATTCACTTGGTCAGTGACGGCAGGTAGCAGCAGATGGAGTCCACGTGGTATAGCAGTGGCAGCAGCAGTGGGGTTGGTGGCTACGTCCTGCCAGGCCTCAGTAGCTGGCGGCTGTGGCTGCCTGCAGCAGCTGCACAGCTGGTAGCAGATCTCGAAGTCTTCGGTCTCAGCTTTGGTAGCTGGTCTGATGCAAACCTGCAGACGTCCGGGTGAGTCACGGCACCAATGATGTGATTATAAAAAGATAAAAAGTATGTTCTGTGAGTGTGTGGTGAGATATGGGGGAAAAGGATGTCTCAGCGGGCCCATGCAGAGGTACCTCTTCCCTGAAGGACCAGTCACATACCGGTATAGCATAGAATAGAGTTTATTCAGGGCTTGGGGAGGGGAGCCAGAAGGGCAGTAGAGGCAGAGAGAGAGAGAGAACAGAGACATAGAGGTCAGCCATGACCACGTGTCTCGAGTCCTGACTCTTATCTGTCATGAGCAGGTTGTGATAAGGTTTTAGTAGCCCCATGAGGAGAGAGTCGACAGGTCCTTCTCTACTCAGTGATCATATGCTGGATTTGACCCTGAGATTATCAGCTCTTTGAGAGGGGAGAGACAGTACGCCAGAGACAGAGGGTTTGACATTCAGTTACTCTTTAATAATGCACAGCAAACAATATATTATCACCAATGCTAATGCTATTGCTACACAGCCATGGCTACCAATGTGTGATGGTGTGCTCCAGTCAGGCTCCTCTTTTGTGTTTGATTTAACGTCCCTGCTGACGTGCATGGCTGATAACCACTCATGTCTGGTTATCGCCGGGCCCTGACTTCATTACAGCTGGTTATCACAGCACAGCTTCACTTCAAGACTTGTCTCTAAAAGTTTCCTATTACAAAATGGAGTCGGTCCTGTTAAGGGCCTGCTCCTTATACCACATAGAGAGAGGGGGAAGGGAAGGGGGAGGGGCGAGGGGACAGAGGGAAGGTAGAGGCAAGAGATCAAGAGATCAAGAGAGAGAGTAGAGGGGGCAAGCAGCCCCTTTTATATCTATCCTCTCTCCCCTCTCCAAACATAAAAACGAAACAAAAATCGCCACCATCAACAAAAAGCAGTTGGCTCAAACCCTAGGCAGCAGTTTGTATTTGTTTTGAGGAATTCTATTATTCCTCAGCCCTTATTTCTCTGTCTTGCCTCCGTTCTGTAATCTCCTTGATTTCCTACTTTGTCTCCTGGGAGATGAGGCTCTCTCTATTTTTATCCTCTCCCAGGCTATCCTTCAAGAAACAAACATGGGCCTGGAGTAGATATATAAATTCTAGTTTGTGTTCTTGGTCCACGAACTTCTGTTGCCAGTGGCCAGAAGTATAAGCAACTCACTCTCTCCACGTCTCCCTGGACTTCTTCATCTTCCCTGTGGAGCCAAATAGGCTGAGCTTAAACTGAGAGGAAAGAAAAGGGAAACAAAGTGTACAGAGCCACCTGAGTGGATATTCAGACTTCTCTCTGCTGTGAACTGAGAGTGCCGAGAACCATAACCAAAATGCGAACATTAGCACTGCCTTGAACCATATGTGCCATGCTGCCACTGAGCACTTAAGGCCAAGGTCTTGGCTCCAGGCTGCTACTTTTCTAATGTGAAGCTTCACAAGCTGCCAGGCGTTTAAAACAGGTGCTTTGTGTAACTTGATTTCTGCTGGACTTGTTTGGCTAACCAACTTGCATAGGAAGAATGCTTTGTCTGTTCTCTGCTCTGGCTGCCTGGGGACTGAGACACGCTACCAGAGACATAATTCTTCCTACTTCTTCCTAATGCTCCCACTCACAGCTCACAGGCTTGTGAGATACTTCCTGGTCCCTCCTTGTTCTTTCATACATCCAGCCCCATCTGCCCCAGACCCACAAAACATACCTGGATGGAAAGAGATTCTTTTGCCCTATGTCCTTTCAGCGGAAAAGAAGATGAAGAAGGAGAAAAAAGAGAAAGAGGAGGAGAATTGTTCAGGGGATGTGATGGCACCATCCCCAGTACAGCATAAAAACAGACATGCTATCTCAGGCCTATAATCCTGTAATCCCAGCATTTAGGAAGGGGACATAGGAACTAGAACAGACCATGAAGAAATGCTGCTTAGCCCGCTAGCCCACTAGATTCCTAATATAAGCAAGGACCGACTACACAAAGATGGTGCTTTGCGCAAGTCTAGAACCTCCACAATCAATTAGCAATCAAGAAAATGCTTCACAGACAAGCATAAAAGCCAATCCAATAAGGCAATTCCTCAGTTGAGGTTCACTGTCAAATTAACAACCAAGGGTAGCCATCATAGTATTGAAGGAGGAGGCATTTCATCATTAATAGCAGGGTGAACTCTCAGAATGTAATCTTCAGCCTGCACTGAGGACTGACAGTTTCTTAGTAGTTTCAGCTCTTGGTCTTTATTTTGTTTGTTGCTGCATGGTTTCGCTCCTCAGCTTTAGCTAGTGCTCACTGCTGTTAGAGATAATTTAAGGTTCTAAAGGAAGAGAGCACTACTCCAATCCAAGTGCCCAGAAAAGTCAGGTTTCACTCTTGATCAGAGGGTGCACTCAGAAGAGCAACCGAAGCACAGGGTGGGTTTTATTTATTTATTTATTTATTTATTTGCTTGAGTTTTACTTTAACTCACTCGATGACTATGCCTTTTCCTCATCCGTTGGGATTAGACCTCACAATCTTAATTCAATTGGCTGGTCTCCTCAGCCAATTGGTAGCTAGGAAGAGAAGGAGGAAGGGGAAAGGGGGTCATTACTTCAAGCAGAAAAGAGGTACTGCTCCAGCCATCAGACCCCTCTAACACAGCAGGATACTTTGTGTAAACAAAGGTTTTACTTGGTTGGGGGTTAAAACATTTGCATAAAAGTCTGAAAAGGTGAGGAAGATAAGAAGATTGGAGTTCCTGGTCCTAAGCACACGTTTTATGTATGCAGTAGAAAAGGTTCAAACTCGGCCGGGTGGTGGTGGCGCACGCCTTTAATCCCAGCACTTGAGAGGCAGGGGCAGGCAGACTTCTGAGTTCGAGGCCAGCCAGCCTGGTCTACAGTGTGAGTTCCAGGACAGCCAGGGCTACACAGAGAAACCCTGTCTCAAAAAAAAAGAAAGAAAGAAAGAAAGAAAGAAAGAAAGAAAGAAAGAAAGAAAGAGAGAAAGAAAGAAAAGGTTCAAACTCAATGTTTATTTTACTGTGTAGCCCAGAGGGGACTTGAACTTCTGACCTTGCTTGCTGAAGTTACAGCTTTGTACCTGTGACATTCCTACTTACTGTGGTGCTTGGGAACAAACCCGGAGCTTTATTCATGATAAACCAGCACTCTATCAAGTGTCAAAAATCACAGCTTTCATCCTAAACTATCTTAAGAGATAGTTTATTCTAGAGTCATTTTTGCGTGACCATGGTATAGTCCGTGTCTCAACCTGGAAGCAGTTTCATAATTTTTTCTAGTCTTACGAAGCAAAGAAAGTCTTAAATCAACACAAGTTTAAAATGCATTGGATACAGCAAGATTGATAAAGCTTTTTATCTAGAGGGCGGAGACGCTATCTGAGCATTGGGGTTGGTGGAAGCTAGTAGCCTGTTAATAGATTCTAAAAGGTCCCGCCCTTCCCCCAGGGCAGTTAACAGTCGCTAGAGAGAGGGGCTCATCAGACCAAGATTCTCTCCAAAAATATTAACAGTTAACAGTTGTGGGGAGAGGGGCTTTTGCTTTGGTTTTTCCTTCAGTGATGTGGCGGCCCATAAAGTTTCCATGTTTCTGTGAGTCACTAATTACTCACTGTTTACCAAGTTAGACCTGAGAGAACTAAGTTCTTTGGACTGTCGTTGGTTTCGTATCGAGAGTAACAAACGCGTTTGTTTAGCTCTGAAAAGAGTTGACACAATAGCGCCACATTCAAGACAGGTAGGGCATCCATTCTCCTATCTTTCGGATCTTGGAAGTCAGGTCCGGAATTTCAGAGGAGTCAGAATTTTGTGGAAAGAGAAGACGTCCCCCTTCGCCTGGGAAATATTCTAGCTCCCGAACAGTTCCGCGCCGCTTCTGCTGAGAGAGCTCCTACGTGCTTCGGTCTGTAGTCGAGACTTGTAGACTCCGATAGCCAGTAGGGTGGATCCTGAGCCCCAGAAATGTTGAATGTGGGGATTCCAGTCTCAAGCCTGTGGTTCTTGGTGTGCTCTGTTCCTCTCTCCTCTCCTCTCCTCTCCTCTCTCTCTCTCTGAAATCCTGTTCAGATTTAACTGCCCTGAATTTTCTAATTTTTTGCAGGGGGATCTTAAATCCGCAGAGACGTGTTTCCCTTCTCTTTGAGATTGTGAATGCTGGGGCTGTTGAAGTGCAAGGAGGGAGGTGTGGTCCTCTATGAAGTAAGTGTTACTGAGCTTTTGATATCGGGATTGATAGCCCCTCCTGCTCCTGGAATTCAGGTTCTTGGGTCCCCAAACAGCATTGGCACCAGAAGCAAGTACAGTTTTCTTAGGAGATGCACTTTCAATGGAGAAAGCAAGGTGGAGCAGGGACTGAGAAAGGGCAGCAGCTTAACTGGTGTGCATATCTGCATACTGAGGGCTTTTCTGAGCATCCTGTAATATGTACTTCTTCGCACAACTTAAGTTGGTCACGTCTCCACCGAGGGGTGTGTCTTTGAATATTATACACCACAGGTTACTTTGCAGCCTGCCTTTGCTTGCAATAGTGGCAACAGCTACTTTTAGGCTGTTGTTGTTGTTGTTGTTGTTGTTAGTGTGTGCAAGTATGTTGTCAGAAAACAACTTTGAACAGTTAGTGCTGTCTTTCTACAATGTGGGACTCAGATCCTGAACTCTGGTTGTCTGACTTGGCAGTAACTGCTTTACCAAATGAAGCAAATGAAGTACAGGTCTTTTCTGAGTGTTAAGCTAATCCTACTTACAATTTCAAGCTTCTCTTCTTAGCATCCTAATTCTCCACCGCAGGTGTGTTTTAATATTAAAATGTCTAGCTAGTAGGTTTTAGCCAATCTTGCCTGGTGGTGGTGGATGGGATTGGAGTCCAGTCTTTCTTTTTGGTGTCTTGTGGTTTTCATATATTAAATTTTCAATCCTTGTCAGGTGCTCTGATTTTGTCTCTGTCCCATCTGCCTCAGTATGACTGTTGCTGTGGTTTCAGAAACAAAATGCTTTCTCAGTGAGATGTAGAGGGCTTAGTGAAACCCCACAAGCTAAGAACAGGGGTCTCATCACAGTCCTGCATGCAGATGCCAGTTAAGAGGATGTGTTTGGGAACTGAGAGATGGTTCTTCTATATAATGTCTTGCTGCTCATCCTGATCACCTGATCAGTTCAACCTTTGGGACCTGCATGGTAGGAGGAGAGGACTACTGTCAAGCTGTCCTCTGACTTTTGCAGATGCACTATGGCATCCATGTGCCTACACATGTATGTATGTATGTATACTTGTAATTAAGAAAAAACTTGACGAGGCCTTGTACTTTAGAAACAGGAGAACATCTTAGTGGTGGGAAGGGTGCTTTTGTGCAGCATCTGGGTTTATGATAAGGTGTCATACAATACCAACTCTAGATAACTTCATATGGGGAATGAAGACTATAGAGAATATATATATATATATATATATATATATATATATATATATATATATATTCTCAAGAGTGAGAATATATTCTCTGTATATTTATACATGTGTTATATGCAATTTTACATTGTGTGTGTGTGAGTATGCCAAGCTATGTGAGCATAGGTCAAAGGACAAGTTGGGATACTCTGTGTTTTCCTATCACGTGGGTCCTGGCGATTGAACAAAACTTAGGTGATGTTACCCTCTGAGCCATCTCTCCAGGCCTCATATGTATACTTTAAATGAGTATGTACAGTGGAGAATACTGTGGTAGGACTTAGTTCTAAATTATTTACTTATTTGTTTTTATTTTATTTTTTTCGAGATAGGCTTTCTCTGGCTGTCTCAGCCCTGGCTGTCCTGGAACTCACTCTGTAGATCAGGCTGGCCTTGAACTCAGAAATCCACCTGCCTCTGCCTCCCAAGTGCTGGGATTAAAGGCGTGCGCCACCACTGCTCAGCTCTTATTTTAAATTTTTATGTGTATGGGTGTTTTGCCTGCATGTGTGTCTAGTGCCTGAGGAGGTCAGAAAAGGGAATTGGGTCTCCTAGCACTGCAGTTACTCACGGTTGTGAGTTACTATGTGGGTGCTATAATCTAACCCAGGTCCTCTGGGAGAGCAGCCAGGGCTCATAACCATTGAGCCACACGTCTACAGCCTCGAGTGTGGGAGACTTCTTGTAGATTGATTACCTTGAGCTTGGAACACTAGGTCAGCCACTGCTGGGTAGGGAAGGGGAAGAGGAAGATTAGGAGTTAAAGGCAAGACCTAGCTACATAGTGAATTAAAAGCTATTCTATGCTGCATGAAACCATATGAATATGTGTGTGTGTATGTACATACATATGCATATATATATGCATATACATACATATATTTCATTAAACTAGCAAATAATGTATTCACAAAAACCCATTTTTCTTCTTTTGTTGAAAATAGATGTTTTTTATATAGTAGATTCTGATTGTGGTTTCCCCTCCCTCTAGTCGTCCCACTTTTCCTCTCCTCCCATCTGCATCCACCTTTGTTCTTTCTGTCCTTAGAAAACAAACAAGCATGTAAGGGATATCGATGAAGTAAAGTGTAATAAGATAAAACAAAACACATCAGACTAGGACAAAACAAAAGGAAAGGAGGGAAGAAAAGGCGTAAGAAACAAATATAGGTTCAGAGACACACATGTTCACACACTCAGGAATCCCATAAGAATACACTAGAAGCTATAACATATACACAAAGGACCTGAAAGTTAAAAGATATATTTTAAAAAGAAGAGAAAAGGAAAGGAGAAGAGGAGAGGAGAAAAGAAAGAAGGAAAAGAAAGGAGGAGGGGAGGGGAGGAGAGGAGAGAAAAAGGAGGGGAGAGGAGAGAAGAGGGAAGAGGAGACAGAGGAGGAGAGGAA